AAGTGCTGTCTTCAACACCAGTACTACCAAAAAGATGCCCTGAAGATTGTTAATTGACATGGTAGAATGTTCGCATGGTACCTTACACAAACTCTTCTGCCTGTGACATAGGTGGTGCACGCATAGTGCTGTGTAGAAAGTGGCTGCTTGTGTCTTGGGGTTGGAGGCTGCTTTTTTAAATAGCTCTTTCTTTGTTTTCAGTATAAACATCCATTTAAAAAGAGGTTTTTACTTTTCTTATATGACTCTTGTAGATTAGTTCACAGAAATTATTGCCATGTAAATGGTTAATGCACTATTTTTTATTTGTTTGTTCTTTATTAGTATAAGTATGGTATGTTCACTACTTTTCTTTAAAACTTAATGGATTGTCTATATGTTCAGGTTAAACATTATAGAACGGGTTTTAGAATGACCCCATGGTTAAGAGCACTGGCTATTCTTCTGAGAATCTGGGTTCTGTTCCCAGCACCACATCTTCAGCACTGATGTGTGTGGAGAAGACACACTACATTCCTCTTCGGGTGATGGTGAACTATGGTTGTTGGAGATGAACTTTGGGGAGGCAGTGTCTCCTATGGCTGTCCTTCAGCAGACCTGGCATAAGGCCAGGTTCCTCAGGGAGTACTTATTACGGGAGGCCACCAATCCTGTTACAGACTGTTGTTATTATTAAGCCTGAAGAACCCATAGCAAATGAGCCATTTCTTTGATGTTGGGAGAGTTGTGGGGTCATTTTCGGAGCCTGAACCTAACTTGGCTCTGTAATACAATAACCGTGCCACTGTCTCAGAGCATTTCCCACCCACTGCTAGTAGGAAATCCCAGCAGACCGACAGAAAAGTGTAGATTGCTTCGTAGGTTCCTGTTGGCTTTCTTGCCAAAGAAACCGAGGAAATTCTTGGGAAAGAACCCAGTGTTTAAAAGTCACTGTGTGGATTTTTTATGGTCTGTGGCTGACAGTAGTATACAGTCAACCCATTGTCTGAAACATAAAGCTTTTATTTTATTGCCTTTTGGATTTTTTTTAGGACTAAATATTATGCTTCCTCTTCTTGAATTCCATACTTTTTGTCATGTTGTACCTTATTTTTGCTTTAAAATTATTTGTGACTAGTCTTTTCGATTTATTTGATTTTTAGATATCATCCATTTTATACCATGTATCAGCATTCCAAATTGATTCCAAACAAATCAGCATTTGTTTTTATAGTAGAATCACTCCCAATATATGTGACTATATCACATTTTGTCTTTCCATGGGTTGGTGGGTATTTAGGATGTTTTAGATTGGCGAGGGACTGTTATGAATAATCCTTTCTCTGTGTGTGTGTCTGAAAAATCAGTTGCAAAACTGATTTTTATTAAATGACTGCATTATTTTGCTTACCCACTAGCAATATATGACAGTTCTTGTTTCTTCCCATTCTGGCCAATCTTTATTTTAGTGAACATAGTGAACATAAAGTAGTAGCTCATTGTGGTTTGATGTGCATTCCCTTGGAGGTTGATGTGTATTAAGGATCTTTTCATGTGTTTATTGGCCATTAATTATCTGTTAGATTTTTTTTTGTGTTCAATTGGATTGTTTATCCTTTTGTTACCGTGTTTTAAGTGTTCTTTATATATTCTACTTATCAGCAGCTCTTTCTCAGATTATGGCTTACAGTTTTTTTTTATATTTTGTGGGTTGTTCTTATTAAAAAAAGAGGGGGGAGCTGGAGAGATGGCTCAGAGGTTAAGAACACTGGCTCTTCTACCAAAGGTCCTGAGTTCAATTCTCAGCAACCACATGGTGGCTCACAACCATCTATAATGAGATCTGGTGCCCTCTTCTGCCCTGCAGGCACACATGCAGACAGAACACTGTATATATAATAAATAAATAAATAAATCTTTTTAAAAAAAAAAATATTGTTTTCTTTGTGTGCATGTGCGTAGGCCTGAGTGAGTATATGTGCATCGTGTGCATGCTGGAGCCCATACAGGCCAGAAGAACATGTCTGATACCCTGGAACTGGAGTTTCAGATGGCTGTGAACTGTCATGTAAGTGCTGGATTCAGAAAACCTGGGTTTTCTGAAGAGCCGCTGGTACTCTTAACCAACCTCCACTCTTTCTTCAACCTCCGCTTGTTTTTGGTTTTGTTTTTTTGTCTCGTTTAATGTTAAAATTTTTATTTATGATTGTGTGTGTCTTGATTGTATGCCACATTACAGGTGCCTGTGAAGTTCAGAATTCTCTGGAACAAGAATTACAGGCACTTGTGAGCACCTGCCCAGGGTTCTGGGAGCTGAACGTGGGTCCTCTACGAAAGCAGCAGCACTCTTAACCCCTGGGCTGTATTTCCAGTCCCTCAGTTATGTTTGTTCTCTGAAGTTCAAGGATTCTATTAAATACATATATTTGTGTGTGTGTGTGTGTGTGTGTGCACGTGCACACATTCATAGGTGCACATAGGTGCACATACACGTGTTTAGAGGACAAAGATTGATGTCACTTGTCTTCCTCAGTCACTGTCCACCTTTTGAGACTTAACCTGTGTCAAATTCTGTTATTTAATGAGAGTGTCTGACTAGCAAGCCCTGGAATGATCCTGCTACCCCAGCACAGCACCACCACTCTTGACTTTTGATGTGGATATTGGAGATGGAACTTGGGTTTGTGTGGCAGATCCTTCAGCTGTCCCACTGTGCAGTCCAGTCTGGCGTGAAACTTACCATCTCCCTCCTCCCACCTCCTGCAGTTAATTTCTGTCTGCTAATTTTTGAATTGTGGTTATTCAGTTTTCTGAGCACTATTTGTTGAAGAAACTTCACCAAAAACATCACTACAAAAGTCAGTTTACCAACATACTGCTGGATATGGCATTAAGCAAAAGTTATTGATCATTTGTATTTCACTTGCTATTTTTCTTTGTCCTAGTTGCTGAGACATTAAAATCTTATGTAACTATGAAAATGTTTTTAGCTTTTAGACTTTGGTGTATTTTGAAGCTGTTATTAGGAAAATATGCTTATAATTAGGAAAATATGCTTATAATTAGTTTTTTTCAGTTAATTACTACTACTTTTATCATGGAACAGCCCTTTTAATGTCTGAGAGTTCATTGTTTGATGATGTGGCAGTCGTTTCTAGACATATACTTTGAGTATTGTGACATTTATTTAAATTGTGTCCTGTTTCAGCAGCGAGGAGTCTTGTAGTTCTGTCCCTTCTGACCATCTGCCTTTGATTATAGTGTAGCCCATTGATAGTTTATTTTAATGAGTAGGTTGATATTTTTTTTTTAGGCCATTATTTTTTTTTTTTCTCTTTACTTTTTTGTTGTTGTTCATGTTTTTCTTCCTCTTGGACTCTTTGAAATTTTTCTCTCCTTTCCTATCTCCTCCCATTCCCTTCCCACTTCTCCTCAGTCTCTTGTAACCCAGGCTAGCTTCAACTAGCTGTTGCTGAGGATGGTCCTGAACTTCTGACCCTCCTGCTCTTGCCTCCCAAGTGGTGATGGGATTACAGGTGTGCAACACCACTGCATCATGAGCAGAAGATATTTATTGTCATCTTTGGATTCACTGAACCATTGAAACAGTTAGTGATCTGTTGCTTTAAGTTGTAGTTCTTTGGTAAAGAACTGCAATTGGGTATTTTATTAGCTGTCTGACTGTCAGTTTCTCTTCTGTCTGTAGTATACGTTGGTCATGTTTCTATACAGTCTTTGGTTTTTCGGGGCAGGGTTTCTTTCTGTAGCCTTGGCTTTCCTGGACTTGTTTTGTAGACCAGGCTGGCCTTGAACTCAGAGATTTACCTGCCCCTGCCTCCCTAGGTGCTGGGATTACAGGCATGTGCTACCACATCCATCTTATTACAGTCTTCCCCCCCCCCCATATTGTTTTAAATTATGTGTTTTATGGTGCTCAGTATTAACCAGGACCTAAATAGGCAAAGTCATCTACCAGTAAGCTGTATAGCCCCAGACCAGTTAATTTGCTGAAGATAGGAACTCTTCCTTGAAGGTAGTTCTACTTTAACCGGTTCAGATTTTCAGATTAGACATTTGTGATTTTGTTTGTAAAGGTCATCTCCAGCCTGAGAAAAGATAAGTGTTATTCCTGTGTTTTCTTGGTTTTATTCTTTGAGTTTATATAATTTTATTGATCTGTTGTGATATATTTCGAAGTATACTTAATGTCATTTGTTAAATAAACTTTTACCTACTGATTTTTGAAGTATCTTCAATATAGTAAATTAAATTCTTAAATATAGCAGAATAGTATGTTTTATTATTGTGTGAGAACATTATTTAATGTTCTCCCTGTCTGGCAATAGTAGTTATCATAAAGATGACCACAAAGGCAGTTCTCTGCCTTTCTCCTCCCATCCCCAAGTCCTGTCATGCTCATATCTAGAGGCAAGCTGGGTCATCCTTCTATTTCTATTTCTGTAATTTCCATGCTCTGTTTCACCATGGTGTGTGGACCTGATGCTGTTGTCCAGTTTTAGACATTTATGACTATTGTTATATGAAGATGTTGCCCTTTGTTTTCATTCTCAGAATATATTTTTGGTTATTTCAGAATTTGTAATATATGTTTCTGGATATGTTGACTATGATTATTATTGGCTTTTGTTTTTCCTAAAGTAAATATTGGAATTGCTTTTTCCTTGTCATTTGCAACCTTTCCAACCTGTTGGGGTTTTCAGGACAGTTTGCACAGAAATCAGTCATGTTAGGCAATTTTAGAGGTTTGGGGTTTTTCTTGGCAGTCTTTCAAGAATGTTCCATTTGCTTCTCAGGCCTATGGACACCCTTGTGAATGGGCTTGCTGTCTTTTAACTCTAGTTTTTAGCAGTAGTGTGAATAGCATCTTTTTCTACTCTAGTTTTTAGCAGATTTTGATCAATATATTGGGAGTGTATTGATATGTAAACAGAAGGCAATACATTCACATTAATCACTGTTAGCATCTATGGTATGTGTTATTTTCCTTAACTTTCTCTAAGTCATGTTTATAACTACTGTACTAGTGTGCATCAGTCCAACCAAGCCCGGGGGGCTGGAGTCCCTCCTTCCAAGTCAAAAAAGGGGCAGACTCCTGGGGGAGCTCAATTTGTTGGCTTGGAGTTATACAAGCGGTTGAAGGAGTTTTTGAAGAATTACTTGACAAATCTTCTTAAGGTAAGATGTCTCACTGCTATAATAAGCATATACAAATGTTTGGATTTTTCTTGAGTGCAATGATTTTGCCATGGCTACCATCTCTGTCATGTTCACTGCTTTAGATTGATACTGTGCCTATACTGGGTTGGCCATTGCTACAACTACCCACACATCCTGTGAGTTAGAGGGTCATTAGCTCAGCCTCTTACTTGGGCAATGGTGAATCTTTTACCTTAGCCGTCTATCTGCCTTTGATCTTTAGTAGTTTGCTCTGTAATAAAGAAAGTGGGTTTTTCATACTCAGCTATTTGTTGGGCAGGTAGCTAGCTCTCTAGTGTGTTCTGTTTTCAATAGCTACTCCATCAGTAGCATATTTGCATTTTACTTCCAAAATAAGTCAACTTTACATTTTGACTTCATTTCATGTAAATAAACAAGACATTTGATTGTGTCTGGGTGTGACTAGGTATTTACATAGATGGTTGGGTCACTTCAATGTTATTACTTGTAGAACTAACTACAGGTCTACTGAACTTTGGCTTTCCACAGGAAGACATGCCTCTTGATAGACTCAGCATAGCACCTATAAATAGCAGTGCAGTGTTTATAAAGGTAGCGCATACTTTGGAGGTATCATTAATTCCTAAGAATTTTTTCAAGTTAATTTTGTTCAAATTAGTGAGTTTAATGTAAAAATAATTTGAGTAACTTCTAGTTTCCTTCCTGAGGCTTTGTTAAAGAGGAAATGTTTTGTTATTATAGTTACATTTTTGTTACAAAAATACAACAAATACCACAATTAAGATGACTTTTTTGTAAGTTTACAAATTTGTGAAGCATTCCATATTTTTAAAAAATGAGTAGAATAGCTTTCATTGTAATTCGTTAATGGGATAGATTGATATAAAAAAACTGGAAAGATGTCAGGCAGAGATGCTTTGGAAGTAGATTATGTAATAAGAAATTGCTTAAAAACTAAACAAAGCAGAATGTGGAGGGAGGTGCATACCTGTAATTCTGTCACTGGACTGAAATCCTAGCTTTCAGGAGGGAGAACAGAAGTTCATTCTCAGCTACATTGTGAGTTCAAGGCCAGCAACTTAGGAGGATCACAAGTTCTAGGTATACTTGGCTGCACATTTGAGTTTAAGGCCAACCTGGGCAACTTACTGAGACCTGTCTTGAATTAAACGTAGAACAGTTGCCTAGCACTAGACCCTAGGTTTAGTCAATAGTACTAAAGGAAAAGCGTGAAAGGAAAAACACTCCCATTCTCAAAGTGTGGGGCATACTCAGCCAATCCATATGCTTATTTAGCCCATGAAAAGTTTCAATTTAATTTAATGAAAGAACTTGTGAGAATTTACATTAGCATGTTTTCATACACATCAGTTAGCCCATCTATAAACATATGTATTTGTGCGTTTTGATGTAGTAGCTTTTTAAATAAGTTTTATTTTGATTATGTGACAAACTACTGATATTAAAGTCTTAGTGAACTTTCTTTGTAGGATGGAGAAGATTTAATGGATGAGAGTGTGCTGAAGTTCTACACTCAGCAGTGGGAAGATTACCGATTCTCCAGCAAAGTGCTGAATGGAATCTGTGCCTACCTCAATAGACATTGGGTTCGCCGCGAATGTGATGAAGGACGAAAAGGAATATATGAAATCTATTCAGTAAGATTTTTTTTTTAAGAATAAATAAATAGCCTTTAAATATGTTGTGTCAAGAAAGTAGAGAGGTGGGAAATTGGAGCTATAAAATATAGTTAAACAGTTCTGTATTTGTTTTTAAAGTGTCTTCAATTAATTAGCCACTTATGCTGCTTATATTTTAGCACTAGAATCCTATGCTAGCAGTTGCCAGCAAATCAAGTACCTTTTCTGAAGATTAAGCTCTTAACTTGGGCCTTCATACACTTTGATCTCAGAGTTCTATATTTGAGAGAGGATTCTGAATTAATTGTTTTGTTAGTCTTCAAGGTTTTTGTTTTAGGCCTTCTGGTTTCTCAAAGTATGGCCTAAATTTGTTGTCATCAGTGTCACCTAGAAACATGGTAGAGATGCAGATTCTCAGACCTTCTAGGCTTTGGAGACTTTTGAGATGGGCCAATGGTAGGGACAGGTAGCTCAGTTAACAGAGTGCTTGCCTAGTGTTTGTGAAGTCCTGGGTTCAGTCTGCTGTACCACAAAAGTCAGGTGTGGTGGTACATACACCTATAATTCCAGCATTTGGGATGTAGAAGCAAGAGAATCATAAGTTTGAGTCATTTTCTGCTGTATAACACATTCCTGGCCAACCTGGTTAAATGAGACGCTGTCTTGGGGGGTGGGGGAGATTTAAAAAAAAACTCCACAGAATTGTCATGATAGCCCAGTCAATAAAGTATTTGTTTTGTAAAGACAAGGACCTGAGTTCACTCCCTGAGAACCTGTGTATAAAGAGCATGATATTGATGTTTGTAATTGCTGGGGAGGCAGACACAGACAGATCCCTGGAACTCATTGGCCGGCCAGCTTATTATTCTGACAAGTACAGGTCGATAGGTGGGTGGTTCCTAAGGACAACAGCAGAGGTCCTCTGGGTTCTGCATGCAACCACACATATAGCCGTGCTCACACAACAATAAATAAACAAACAAATACTTCTTTCTCCACATAAGCAGAGTGAGAACTTTTATTTGCCTGTTTCATTTGTGGTCTCTTAAGGCTTACTAACCTAGGCCTGGTCCTGGAAACTTGTAGCCTCTGTACAATCTAACCTAGGCCTGGAATGTTTTTTAGCCTTTGAGGCTTAGTGCTTAATTAGCTCACTCTTACTTGTTCTTTCTGAGCTCACTAAGCTGTTCTGGCTCAAATTTGTCTCCCAGCTGGCTTATTGTCCATCTAGCTTTTCTCTGGGCTTCTGAATTGCTCTGCTTAGCCTCAAACTAACACCAGCAATCTTCTCTAATCATCTGGGTCCTTCTCATTCTCTCTTTTCATCGTCTCTGGCTAACTGTCCTGGTAAAACTACTGCCTTCTCTCTCTCTCTCTGCATTACCCTTAAGTAGCTTCCCTTTCCCTACTCCCCCCCCCCCCCCTCCAGAGAGAGAGAGAGAGAGAGAGAGAGAGAGAGAGTTGGGCATATCCTATTTTGTCAAATCTGTCTGATTTGTCATTTTTTTTTCCCTGCCACTCAGTTAAACATCACTTTAAAACACAGGTGCTTCCTTCTGCAAACTGTCTTTTCTTTCACTGTTTGGAATTAAGGGTGTGTGCCGCCATGCCTGGACCTAACCTTTTCTTTACCTGAAACCTGAAACTTGCTCTATACCACGCTGGTATTGAACTCAGATCTGCTTGCTTCTCTCTACTAGGATTAAAGGCATATTTGTATTTTAACTGGATCACACAGACCTAGAAGGTCTTTGGATATAATCTCTTGCCAGAGCAGCCATGTTCTGAATTAAAATTGCTCTACAAAGGAGGAACTCACTGTTCTAGAGAAGTTGAGGAGGGATTCATTGAAAACATTAGTATATGGATGTGTATCAGATCTAAACCTTTTGGGATCAGTTTTATTAAAATGTCAGTCTGATGTTGTGTTATAATAGCAATATTTGCTTTGACAAAATTAGATGAAAAGTAGCTTAGATGCAGGACTTTTATCACTTAAAGAGCTGTACTTCATAGTAAGACTTTATTGTGTAGCCACATAGGTTTTTATTTTGGGTTTTGTTTGGTTGGTTTGGTTTTCTGTTTGCTTATTTGCTTGAAACAAGATATCATTATAGCCTTGGCTGGACTGGAACTTTATTTTGTAGACCAGGCCTCAAACTGAGAGAAACCTGTCTTTGCAGCCCAAATGCTGGGATTAAAGGTGTCTACCACCTCATCTGGTTAGTTACATGCTTTTAACATTTTCTAGGTTCAGTTCTTTGAATTGAGGGTTTGTTTTTTTTTTTTTTTTTTAATATATTTTAACTGACCAAGTGTACATTTATGCCATTGAACATGTTTTGAATTCTGTCCATCATGGAATGGCTAATGTACTTCCCTTGTGTTAGAGTTTGCAGAGTGGACTCTATGGTTGATTTCCTTTTGAAAACGGCTTGATCTAAGTTGACCATTCCTGCTTTTTCACTTTCCATGTGCTTTAACAGTTAAAACAAGTTTAACTGTTTTAAACATTCTCAAGGTATAGTCAGACATGGAAGCACACGTCTTTAATCCTAGTGCTTGGGAGGCAGAGGCAGAAAGATATCTCTGAAATTCAAGGCCATACTACCTAGAGTGCAGGTCAGCCAGTACTACATAATGACACCCTATCTCAAGTAGATGGATGGATGGATGGATGGATGGATGGATGGATGGATGGATGGATGGATGACAGACAAAAGTTAGCCACTTTGATTACTTTTTAAATCTACTTTCAAAACCCACACCTTCTATGTCATCCAGTAGCATCGCTACTGTTTGGAAATGCAGTATGCAGCCATAAATTCTAGCAAAGAGCAATTAGTGTCCCCACCTAGAAAAAGCATTCCCATCTGCCATCCCAAATGTGCTGCTTCAAGACCTGCTCAAGTCATTTGCTAGTTTGTACTGAAGCTCAGCGGAACAGTTATAACCTGTGATTTTGTCATAGGCGCAGAGTCTTTAGCAAATATGACTTCTTTGTCATGTAGTGACTTCATGACAAATTATAAGACTTTTACTCTTTTCTAACCTTTTTTCCTTTTTAGTTAGAGTTGCTTTCTTTCTAAGTCACCCAGGGGATATAGGTTTGATTTCATTGTTAGTATGTTGAAGTGCTGCCAACAGACTTGTTTTCTCTAACCTGCTCTGAAGTTTCTTTGGATTGCCTTCACAGCTTCTGTCTTCTATTGCTCTTTGACTTTATCCCTTTGAAGGGACAGATCATCCAGAGTCAGGCTAGGTCTGTCTAAGGAGGGGGCTGCTAACTAATTTACAAAGTAGTTAGAACAAAATGATTTTTTTTAAAGTGTAGGGGTTTGGTTAGAAGCCGATAACTGTAGCCCTGATATTTCCATTGTCTCCTTACTCCTGTCTGAGGACTAAAGAAGGAGGGAAGAAAGGGATTGGGGTTAGACATACCTTTCCAGGTTCCTTTTCTCCTAGACAGCAAGACTGAGTCTTCCGACACACCACAGCACAAAATCCTAATAATGCTTGGCCTGGCAGTGCATGCCTCTAATCACAAGAAACTGCATTGAAAATATATCATCAAGATATAAAAGTTGGAATATTTCTAAAATCTCTACTTTTCTTGATGTGTTAGAAAACTGATAGTGACTGGAATCACTTTTATCAGGTGTATCTGGTTAAAACTTGTTGGAGCCAGGAAATACATTTAAAGTTTGAGTCTACTGCTGGTTATTTAATTTAAGCTGATACAAGTGTCCTCCTTAAATCAGGGTTTTCTTTTTGAACTTCATTGTTAAAATGTGAGCTTGTGAACATCTGTGCAAAGTGTTTAACTTAAGAGGGCAGCTTAGATTTCATTGTGATAGTAGATTTTTTTTTTTTTTACTTTTTTTTTACTAAGGGATAATCTAAAATTTTTGGTAAAATTAAGAAATGAAATTATCTATAAGCAATTTGGGGGAACCATAGTGAAACACAGACATTTAATACATCTTTTCCCCTTTTTCATCCAGCTTGCATTGGTGACATGGAGAGATTGTTTGTTCAGGCCATTGAATAAACAGGTATCTACTGTGGGATGTGTGTGTTTCCTTAAACAAAACAAAACAAAACAAAAAAAAAAACTTCCCACTTTTATCTTGTCTTCTCGTGCCTTTGAATTATCTCAAGAGCATTTGTTGGGCTGGGGATTTGGCTCAGTTGGTAAAGTGCTTGCCATGCAAGCATGAGGGCCTGGAGTAGACCTGAGGACCTATAGGAATGGTAGTGCCCACCAGTGTTGGGGAGGTAGGGTCAAGCAGATCCCTAGGGCACCCTGTCCAGTGTCAAACTTGCCTCCTGAATGAGCTCCGTGGTGGTGAGAGACTGTCTCAAAAAACAAGGTGGATGACCCCTGGGGAACAGTGCTTGAAATTGTCCTCTGCTCTACACTTACACACATTCATGTGTCCAAACCTCAGAAATATTGGCTAGCTTGTATTATTTAGTGGCTTTAAGTGTGGAAAGGAATGTAAGATATATTGTGACCTGTAGTACTTCTACCGTATGTTTTATGTGTTCTTAAAGGTAACAAATGCTGTCCTAAAACTGATCGAAAAGGAAAGAAATGGTGAAACCATCAATACAAGACTCATAAGTGGAGTTGTACAATCTTATGGTAAACAGTTTGCCTTTATTCAGTTTTTAGATCACATGACAATTTTAATAAAGGTCTAACATTCAGTTAAAAACATTTAAACTATTATCAAGAGTGTTAATACATCTTTAAGGTACTTTTAAGGTAGTAATTTTACAAATCATAGAATATATTTAATCTTTTTGTACTTTAAGGATATTTTATTGAAGAATTACTTATATATGAGTTTTGAGCTAAATGATAACCAGGAATTTATAGAAGCTTGACATATTGAGGTGAGACACTGATTAAGTGCAAGCTCAATTGGGTTTGCATTTCTGTGAAAGTTTACTATGCAACTGTGCATTGTCTTCCTCTGTGGCCTGGTAAGGCTGCCCCCTCCCCCAAGGGGAAGTAATCAAAGAGCCAGCCACTGAGTTCATCACATTGATCTTTTAAGTGTAACTTAAACTAAATGCTGCACCAAAGTATTATCTGTGGAATTTAAAAAAAAAAAAAAAAAAAAAAAACATGACAATTGAAATATAGCTCATATTTGTTTCTAGTGGAACTGGGGCTGAATGAAGATGATGCATTTGCAAAGGGCCCTACGTTAACAGTGTATAAAGAATCCTTTGAATCTCAATTTTTGGCTGACACAGAGAGATTTTATACCAGAGAAAGTACTGAATTCTTGCAGCAGAACCCAGTTACTGAATATATGAAAAAGGTAAGCTTAAACATGGTATGTAAAGTAGCTGTAAGTTAAACAGTCATTACTCCTCCAGCAAGGTCTTGGTAGTGCAGTGTTGCTTACAAGTCAGGCATGGCTCTGCTGTTACACCATGTCAGCAGAGCCATGCCTGAACTTTTACAAACTGATAATCGTGAGTACTCCCCTGCACATGTGGGAGGTGCCTTGATAGCTGTATGCCTTCCATGTTTTTGAACTGTCTGCTTTTAAATGTTGACCTGTATCTGGCTAGTAGACCTCAGAATTTTATGTCAATGAGAAAAGAGTAAAAAGCAGATATTTCCAGATTTGCTTTTTGTTTTGTTTTTGCTGTTTTTCTTCCAAAATACTCCCTAAGAGTCATAGCTTAGCCTTCAAAATTATATTAGGAGGGAGGACCTGAATTCTGACTTTGGAGACTATCCAAGGGTGGAGCCATGTATTTTAATTGCATATTTTGCTACATGATGCTTCCATGAACTTCTAATAGGATTTTTCTTTGCTATTTTTCTTGGAAATTCAGGTATTCTGGATGTAGGGTCTGAGGAATGACTATATGAGGAGTCGGCAAGCTTTTTGTTATATAGTACCAGGCAGTAAATATCTTTAGGCTTTGAGTACTATGTTTGGTTTCTTCTGCCACTGTTTAGCTTTGCTGTTATAACACAAAAGCAGTCATGGTAATGTGTAAATAAGCAGGAGAAAGGTGCAGCAGGATTTTGCCCATTGACCATATAGTTTGGTGACCCTGTTGCCTGCATGTTCTAAATTTTCAAGAGTTTGGTTCATAGCAAGTCTAATACCTACTTTGCCTTCTTTTGGCCAGGAAATGGACTGCCAAGTCATTTCTTTCATTCTCAGAAGGAAAATAAGCTCAACCACCCTGCTTCTGGCATATAGAGAAAGCCATGCCCAGCTTGTGTGCAGAGTGCATTTTCATATGGTGCACTTCTTCCATGGATATAAGTGCGCCTTCTAAGTATTAAATTGAAAGTTACTTACACATTTCCGATAGCTTAAAATCCAGCAGAAGTGGAACTAGTCAGTTGTATATGTGTAAGAGTAGTAGCTCTTTTTTGGTGTGTTTTGTATGTAACTGAAACCTAACCAGCTCCATAAGAGTATTTGAGACATAATCTGTTTTGAATCCTTGTATTGTTCATTATTTAATTTTGTAATATAACCGTACTTTTTCAGTCAAGTCTCTTACTGCCCTGTTGTAATTTTCTTGCATTTATTCGTTTTGTGTATGTGTATGTACATATATAACATGTCTGCATGTGTACACATGCAAGTGTGTGTGTGTCATGATAGCATACATAGACTGGTTCTTTTACCATATGGGTACCAGGAATCGAGTTCAGACCATCGGGATTAGCGGCAAGTACCTTTAAGCCCACTGAGCCGTTTTGCCAGCCCAGTAGTGATTTTTTTTCTTAAACTATCTTTAAAGTGGAACCTTCCCTGACATTGCACGCCACTTTGGTGTTAGCTCTGCCCTTAAACTTCTTCATGATTTGTGGTGATGTCTGCTGCCCATGCAGATGACAGTACTAGTAATATATCAGCTCAAAGAAAGCAACTTTAGGACAGTGCTTCAGGCACTCAAAACAGGGATGTCTATTTTTTAAAGTTTGCCATCTTTGAAAATACCAGTGTCTTGTGGATAGGGTGTTTACAATCCAGCCTGTCCCCAGCTTCCATACAGCTCTCTAAAAGATTAAAAGATTTGGTCTGACCCACTTAAAGGTCTTACCAAACATGACTTCCCATCTAATTCTTGAAATCTATAATTCAGTCTCTAAAAACCATAAATAATGTATAAAGTTAACCATAGGAGCGTTTTCTTTATAAAATGGGATATTATGTATCTCAATATCAAATATCCTTGTATCTCAAAGTGGGGCACTAGTTTTAAAGGTTAAAGGATGACCTCAAGTATTCTGTTCCTTAGTTTCCTCAACTGTGAAAGCGGACTAATAATAGTTAGGTGGTATTGAGGATTTGGCGAACTTTACTTTTAAAATAATGTAAAATATTTGAAACTAGTATGTATTAGCAGTTTGTATTAAAGGCCCTATAGAAACATGTGGCAAAGCAAACCTGATGGAGGGCTTTGGCCTTACACATGTATACCTCAGACTCTCCAGCCTGTGCCTGGCCAGGTATAGGATCACCAGATAAAAATTGGCAATTTCAGTAACTTAAGGAGAAATTACATTTATATCAAAACAATCAAGTAGAATACAACATCTTAGAAATATTATTGAAGTAAAAATTAGCTTTCAGAAAAGAGCCTGCTTTTCAACAGCCAACTTGGGCTAGGCATTTACAGTATGTAGGGGTTGCTGTCCAGTTTGCTGATCATTAATTACACAGTATTTTAGTGTCAACATTTGATAATTGCTGGTTTATCCAAAGGTGGCTTTGGCTAAACAGCTATAAGCCATATTAACACTTTAAAATCAATCTCATGTGATTGAGATGAATATGACCTTTAAAACAAACAAAAATGAACTTGTTTGAATATTCTAAATTCCTAATCTTTTTTATTTATTTAAAAATAAATTATGGGCTGGAGAGATTGCTTAGCAGTTAAAAGAGTAGGTATAGCTCTTGCAGAGGACCTGGGTTTGGTTTCCAGCGCCCCCATGTTAGATCATAGCCATCTGTCAACACAGTTCTGAGGGATCCTCTAATCTCTGTGGGTACTTCATGCATAGTGTATATACATACATGTAGCCAAAGCATTCACATTTAAAAAAAAAAACACCTTATTTTATTAATTTGCTTATCAACCTTTCAGTTTTGTTTTGTTTTTGTTGAGAATTGTTTCTAATGGAGTTAATCAGGGTCATTTTCAAGAACTTGAGTGTACTTAGTCATTCAAATGTGATCTTGGTGTCCCATGGTCAGTAAATAATACAAGCGATGGTAAAGATACTTAGCACCACAATTACGTCCCAATTCGGGACCTGCTTCTACTTTTCTGCCATTTGGCCCCTAGAGGAAGCTCTGTAAACTGCCAATAGAGTCAAGTGTCCCCAGTGAAAATCAGCTCTCTTCTGAGAAGAATGAGTTTTGTTTTGCTGACCAAGATGATCTGTGTTCTCCCAAGAAACAGATATAACTTAAACAGGAAGAGTGGTAGTTCAGTATTCATCTGCTCTGTTCTTCACTATCAAATGGAATGAAACCCTGAAATCGGCAGCAGAGCCTGAACTTGGAATTTATGGTTCTAGAAGAACTTTGTAATCCAGGAAACAAAAATACAAATTAAAGACTTTCTGGAATACACAGTAACAGACCCACACGCCTGGGATACTTACTAGATTGGAATGTTGCTGTGAACTTTTTTTTTCTTTTTCCAGGGCTCATTCTTTTGCACTGAACTTACGGATTAATGATATATTTTACTGGATACTTTTCATTTATCAAATAATAAATGATAATATTGGCATATTTTGATTTTTAAGTTTCTCACTGGAAATTTACTAACTTCAAACCTTTCATGTTTCTTTATTGTGACTTATCTGTTCTCATTTCAGTTTTTGGATTTAATTACTGGCTTGTGAGTTCTGTGTTTAGAATATGGACTTTGTGATGGATAGAGTTTGCTATGTTGAACTTTACTTTGCATGTTTAGCTTTTTGCCAAGTATGAGTGTATGTTGTGGCCAAAGCTGGTCTCCTGTGGTTGAAAACCACCCAGGGTCACATTTGATGGTCCAAACTTTGCCTAGTCAGTTGTTTTCTTTTATTCAATCTCAGTAGTAATTCTCCAATGGTAATTATACCAAATCTGAGAAGTCTGTGTGGAGAGTAAAATACGGCTTTTGTCTTTTTATTCAGATCATTTCAGTAATTCAAGACTATCAATGAAATATCTTCCTTATTCTGATAATGTAGGATTCCTCAGTGACTATACCACACTTTTTTCTTTATTGCTGATTATTATTTTTGAATGGTCATTTCTAGGATTATATTGGTTGTGACCACTGACTTCAGACATCTTTCAAACCAAAGTAGAGCTTCCTAATTCAGTGTCCACATGTTAAAGAGGACCTGCAGCTTTCTCCCACAGGGTTGGTGTTCATTGCCTTCAAGATGTGAAATATTATTTACCCAAAGAAAAATGACATGAAGACATTTGAACTGTTAATTATGATAATGTTCTTAGGGCTCTTAAAGGATTAGAGCATTGTATTGAAGAGAAAGTAGAGCATACCAGTGGCTTTCTAATGTGGTTGACAGTCACCCTACAGTCTAACGTCTTCCTCTCCTTTTCTTAATCAGGCTTTACTAGAAGATTTGTGAATTTGATTTGTCATTCACATAATAGTTCTTTAAAAGTGATAAACCATTCATTGGTTTGATTTGATTTAATTCTCTGCAGGCTGAGGCTCGTTTGCTTGAGGAACAGCGGAGAGTTCAGGTTTACCTCCATGAGAGCACACAAGATGAACTAGCACGGAAATGTGAGCAGGTCCTCATCGAAAAACACTTGGAAATTTTCCACACAGAGTTTCAGAATTTGTTGGATGCTGACAAGAATGAAGGTGAATATAATTTGTTCCACTTACTTGCCTTGATTATTACCAGTGGTGGGCAGATTTTGTGTGTGTGAGTATTCTTCCTTTGAAAAGATGAAAAGACTTCTTTGTTTTCTCTTCCCTTGATTGCTCCTCTGTGCTAGTGGGAACTGTTAGTGGTTCTGTCACATTGTTGGGACCTAGGATTTCTCATCTTAAACCATCATAGATTGAACACATATATGAAGTGAATAATTTGAGGGATCCCTTCATGACTTATAGTTGAAAGGTATATCTATATATATATATATTTTTTTTTTTTTAAACAAGTGTTTTAGTACCTTTTGGGGCATAAATATCTCAGCAGGATTTTAGAAAACATTGAGTGCTTTTTCTTTGTTGTAAAATTAGTGGATTCTTGTGGTAAAGGAAAAGTAAACTTCTAATAGACTAACTTCATTGTTGCTTTTAGCAAACTATACCAGATCTAGAAGATGGTTTCCTATTTCACAGTATATTTCTGTTTGACATAAGTGTATAATGAGCAGAATAAGTACAGTTGGTTTCCATGCATAAAATGGGCTCCGTTTTTCTTTCAGATTTGGGCCGCATGTATAATCTTGTATCTAGAATTCAAGATGGCCTAGGAGAATTGAAAAAACTACTAGAAACTCATATTCATAATCAGGGTCTTGCAGCAATTGAGAAGTGTGGAGAAGCTGCTCTAAATGTAAGTAGTGCCTGGCTGAAAAGTAGCTGAGCCCATTATTTTCACATGCCAACTGCAGGCGTGTGCAGTACATCTTTGTAATTGTGTAGTTAACATTTTGTTGACACTCACAGAGAACTTGTTTTGACTTGGAAGTAGAGAGTTCACAAAATCCTTAAATTATTCTTGTATCCTTTTTAAAGACTTAAAAGACTTAAAAGGGGTGGGAGATAAGGTGAGTTTCATTATATAGCTGATGCTGGCCTTGAACTCACAGAAATCCATCTACTTCTACCTTCTGAGTGCTAGGATTAAAAGCTTGTACCACCACACTCAGCCTTCTCCAGCACCTTTTTAAATATTGATAATCTCCTTTTTAAATCTTTGTCTTGTTTTAGTGTGTAGAAGTATTTCTTACTGAATGTATATGTGTCTAAGGAGGTCAGAATAGAGAGGGCTTCAGAGCCCCTGGAACTGGAATTATGAATGGTTGTAAGCCATTGTGTAGGTACTGAGAATTGAACCCTGATCCTCTGAAAAAGCAACCAGTGATCTTAACTGCTAAGTGATCTCTTTAGCCTCTTATTTATTTCTGTCTTAAAAATGGGTTTGTGTTCATGGGTGCGGTGCCCACAGAAGCCAGAAGAGGATGTCATACCTCAGAGAGGTAGTTGTTGTGAACTTGGGTGCTGGGAACTAAACTGGTCCTTTGTAAGAACAATACACATTCTTAATTGCTGAGCGACCACTTATCTTAAGTTTGTGAATGTTAGGTCTGTAACCTCAGAACAAGAATGGTTTGACTTTTCCTTATCATGGAACAAGAAAAGGAAAAATATACAATAATTTTTTTCATCCAGGATATAGTGTGACATTCTTGAAAATCCTGGAATTTTGGTTTCTTTAAAAAGCACAGAATTATTGCCAGACAAGGGGGATCGTGCCTTTAATCCTAGCACTCAGGGAGGCAGAGGCAGGTGGATCTCTGAGTTCAAAGCCAGCCTGCTCTACAAAGCTAGTCCAAGACAGCCTTTGCTATACAGACACCTCCCCCCCCCAAAAAAAAAAAAAAAAAAAAAGAAGAAGAAGAAACAAAACCAAAAACAAAGAAAAGAATATGTTTTCATTTTAATCCCAGGTATGGGGCTATGGGGCTGCTTCAGATTGTCCACAGCAGCTGACTATGATTTGCCTTGTGCTCTAGCAGAGGTATGGTTTTGCCAACTGTAGATAGTTTCTGCTATTGTGTGACCTTTGGAATTATGAGAACAAGAGGGTATATAAGTTCTAGGGCCCCTGAGAGGTGGGGTTGCTAGTAGTTCAGAGAGGTGAAACTGAGGGCAGGGGTTGGGAGATAAGGGGTGGGAAAAAGAAGAAACAACAAAGTAGGAAAGGCAGCTTTACCATTTTTTTTTTCCCAACAAATGGAATTCTTTAATCTTTCTGTAAATGAACTCTTTGTGGAAGCAATTCATTCCCAAACCAGTCTGTATACCACATCAAACTAAATTCTAATGTAAACTGTGCTTTACCAAGACAAATACTAAAGTGAGCTTCTGTTGGTCAAGGCCCTTTAGAAACGCATCACTAAACTGTCCATCCTTCATCAGGTAGGCCATGAATTCAAGGCCTTCCTGGGCTGCCTGGTGAATTTTAGAGCAGCCTAGGCTTAGATTGAAAGGATTGTTTAAATCTGTTAGTGGCCCAGGGAACACAAGTTTACACACAGGAGGAGTGAGATGTTTCTTAAAAGCCTATGTAGAATTATACTCCCAGTTCACCTCTTTTTAACAGTGTTCTTGAATAGTACTCGGTCAGAAGTTAGGATCATACATGATCATCGGAAGTGGCATCTAAGTCTTACCATATAGCTCAGGGTGGCCTCTTCTTGTCTTGGCCTCCCAGGTTATCCTACTATGGGCATATGCCCCAATGCCTAACTCAGGCCTTTTGAAGACCAGTGTTGGTCTCCTGGTGTGTGTTCATTGGAACTGGGAGTGTATACATGTATGTACTGTACCAGTATATGTAGAGGCCATAGGTAATGTTGAGTGTCTTCTTCAGTCACTTCCCACCAGGCAAAGAGAGCTTCCCAGAGAGTCCTTCAGTCAGTGAATATAAACAAGCACAGTCTAAAGTAAAGACAGAGGATTTAAGAAGAGACCGGAAAGGTAGAGATAGCTAAGTAGATGTTGGCAGAACTTGGAAGCATATTAATTAATTATGTCAACCCCACCTAATGGGCACAAGGAAATCCGCTAGAGGTATTATTGTTAATAATAATCATGCATTTGACAGACTAGATTTTTAGTCAAAACATTGCTACCATGTAGAACGTGATTGAAACTAATGAGTGGCTGTAAGAATAGCAATAGGCTTTGTTGAAACAATTAAGAGGGAATGACAATGACAGGGTGAGGGCAGTTGTTCATTTTTGGCTTAGGAAATAGAATCACACGGCTTCTGAAGAGTAGGTTGTACAAGCTTGCTGGGGACTTTGGTCTAGATTGTTAAAAGTGTCAGTCATGGATGTGATAATAGTTTTTAGAATCATGAGCATTGAATGGGATCCCTTGGCAACTGAGAAGGGTTGTGTTTCTTATATGCAAAACGAAACGAAACAAAAAAAAACCCTCTCATGTACTGTTTGGACAGACTTATGAGCCAGACTTATCACTATTATATTCATTTTGTTTTAAGCCTAAATTTTGTTTTTCAAGTCAAGCATGTTGACATATGACTGTAACTGTACCACTCAGGAGGCAGAGGAAGGAAAATCAGACCCAAGGCTGCCCTTGGCTATATAGTACATAGGAGACTAGCCTGGGCTATGAGACCCTGCCTCAAAAAAGAATGGGGCTGGTGTGATGGCTCAATGGGGAGAAGACCAAAGTATTGACAGCCTGATTTTGACTCCTAGGGCCCATGGTGGAAGGAAAGAACTGATTCCAAAAAGTTGTCTGAACTCCACCCTAGTACTGCGGCACCCCTCGTCCAAACCAAACATGTCTTGTAAACACATAATAATAATAATGGACTTTTTAAAGCTACTTTTTAGGACTGGCTATCTTGGCACATTGTTCTATGGATTCCTGTCAATCCACAACCTCAGCCATACTCTGCTGGGTCTTCCTGATTATGAAGCATCTAAAATCAATCTGGAGGCTACTTTATTTTTTGCAAAGCTTCACATCACCACATGGGAATTTCTTCTGGCCATTTACTGAGAAATTTGTTTCCAAATCCTTAATTTTAGGGGAAAAAAATTTTTAAAGTGAAAAGACCAGAGAAATGGTTATAATTCTCCCTAGCACATAAGAGTAAATGTAGAGTCATTACTGTTGTCTAAGAATCAATTTGTAAGCCAAGACAGAGCAGGAGAGCAGATGCATGGAAGAGAAGGCTGAGGTCAGTCAGCACATAGGAGCCACAGTGAGAGGCAGAGCATGTGGTGAGGGATAGTGCAGGCCTATCACCCAGCTTCTCACAGGATGTGAGTTTATCGCCCTCCACTGCTAACTTGAGTCATTATAAAATAAGCACTGGAATGTTTACATACGTAATGTACCTTATATGAATTGTATGAGTGGTAGTCCCAAAGAAAAAGGTTTGTAAGCGGTCTGAGTCTTTAAGTTGGTAGTTTTGACAGGCAGTTGGTTATTTGCAAGGATATGAAGTGGTGCCTTGTGGGACCTGAGTGGTCCAGTAGAAACTGCTGCATTTTCCTGTGCTTAGATGTCACTGTAGGCTAGAGTCCTTTGTAAAAACCAGTGACTATGAAAATTATAAGGGAAGAGTTTAAATGTTGTTCAGTAATTTGATGTGAGGTCAGAAAGCAGTTGAAAACCTGAGTCCACCAAAGTAATACAGGCTTTAATGATAAACCAAAATTAAGTCAAGCAAAGGGGGAAAATGCAATCCTTACAAAAAAGGAGCACATATGAAGTGAGTGCTTGCTTGACTTGTAGGTACTCTCTGATGCTTTCTTTAGAGTGGTGCCATCTCTGCAACATTCAGGAATAGTTGTCATGAGACAGGGACCAGATTATCTGATTATATCAGGTAAAGACCATCTTTCCATCTCAGTGAAACTATGTCATCACACTATATATTTTTTTCATAATAATTTTGCATCTATGTATCATATTTTTAAACAGAACACACCTGCAGTGTATAGAGAATGATTGTATTAAGAGAGTGTGTCAGAAACTGGGATCTAGGCGTGGTGGTGCACCTCTGTAATCCCAGCAGGGAAAGTGGCAAGGTCACAAGTTCATGATCAGCCTGGCCTACTTAGAGAGACTGTCTCAAAAATACCAGCAGTGAAATCACACGCCAGAATATTTCATTTCTGTGCACCTGAAGCTCCTGGTTTTGAAGGGTTAGTCAAGAGCTTTCCCGCCTCTATGTGTTCATCAGCTGGGCCTTCTCCATTCTGAAAACTGCAGAGAACATATCAGACTCAGGAGTCATCTACCTGAGTCCTCTCCTAGCTCAGCTGCCACTTACTTTGGTAAGAAGTATATCTTAGTTTAAGCTTCTAAGATTGACATTAAAAGCGATACCTGAGTTAATAAAATGTAACTAATAATAAAAATTTTTTAAAAAGCGATACCTGCTGGCAGATAATGACTGCTGATCAACCATTGGTATTGTATGATTCCTCCCCATCCATCTCCTTTATCTTGTACTATGTTCTTTTGTCTGAAGACTCTCTGTTGCCCACCCCAAGCAACACACTAAGTTCCCAGTACTTGTCCCTGACTTTGGCCACACAGAGGGAATGCTGTTGTGCATTCCCTCCTGCATTCAGACCTTCTGAGGTTTGAAAAATACTTTAATGATCTTTTCAAGTTTTTTTAAGGTATTTAATTTTTAATCTGAAGAGTTACTTTGTTTTACATATAAACACAATGTAAACACAATCTTTCAGTGGTGGGATCAAAAGTATTTCTGATCATTATTAACTTCTTTGAAGGTGTTGTCAAAACTTATAGAATGTTTTAGAGCAGCAGAGAATGTGCTCTTATAATTCCTGCTTAGTTGTGGTTTTCCCTCTACCTAAGGACCCCAAGATGTATGTGCAGACAGTGCTGGATGTTCACAAAAAATACAATGCCCTGGTGATGTCAGCATTCAACAATGACGCTGGCTTTGTGGCTGCACTTGATAAGGTAAGTGTGTTACTTTGCTGCCTGTTCAGTATGTATGTAGGATACATATGCATACACTATGTATGCAGGATACCATTTCTCTAACTGTTGTTTATATAACACAGGCTTGTGGTCGCTTCATAAACAACAATGCAGTTACCAAAATGGCCCAGTCATCCAGTAAATCCCCTGAGCTGCTTGCTCGGTACTGTGACTCCTTGTTGAAGAAAAGGTAGTGACTTAATTTTGAGTTTTTCCTAGTACCTTGTTTAAACCTCAGTTTTTACAGAAGGAATCAGTATTTGCATTACATTTCCTTGCATTGCATTTGTTGAAACCTGCATCAGCTGCCACTGGCTTTCCAGGCAGTAGAAGACTAAATACAATATGGACTAAGTGTTGGTGTATAAAATTTGTTTTTGACAAACCTACTTTGTAGCTCAGGCTAGCTTCAAAACTCCTGGCAGCCCTCCTACCCACAGCCTTCTACATACTGGGATTACAGAGTGCATCACCATGTCCAACTTTCTGCATACCTTATATTTGGTCATTTGTTGGTGCTATTTATACTTCGTTTTTCAGACATCATATATCTGACACTTTTTCTTGTCTTCTTAACTGTATTCAGAGTTTGGAGGTAGGCTGATCAGTCTTGGCTTCTTCCTCTGTGTTATGTTCCACACATGTTTGTGTGTGTCCTGGTTCCCTCAGCCTCTCCCTTTCACAGTTTTTTTGATTCAGGAATGTTCAAGATTTGCTTCAGTGTCCCACATACCACATCACCAAATGCTATGAAGGGGACACAGGCCTCAATAAACTCACATTTATTGAAAAGCTAGGCGATGAGCCTGCATGGTCCTTAACATGTTCTCACCTCTCACTGTGGCTCTTACATGCCAACTTCAGCATTCTCCTCCTTGCAAACTGTCACTATATTGTGCTTTTTATAGTTCTTAAGGCTAAGAGAGCACCCTCAAATGCCAATGTGAACAATCTAACTATCAGAGCCAGAGAGATCAATCAACTGTTAAGGAAACTTGCTTCTCCTGCAGAGGACCTGAGTTCATGCTGACATTGGCAGCTGACAAACGCTTGTAATTCCAGTTTCTGGGAATTTGATGCCCTTTTTTAGCCTCTGTAGGTTCCTGTGTGCATATGATGCTCATACAGAAAAGCAGGTATGCACACATGCACATAAAATCTTTTTTTTTTTTTTTTAGGTTAACAGATCATAATCAGTGAACTCGAAAATAATTGTACAAAATGTAGACCATGAGGCATCTTTGAACTGTGGTAGTAGCTCAGCAGCACACCTGAAACAGCTCACTGTGCTTAGAGAACTGTGCTGTCTGCTTGGTACATGCTGGGAAAACATTGGGTAAAGGGTCACTTACTGTCTCTGTTTTTTTAAAATTACTTTTTAAAAGCTGCCTCTCTTAGTTTTGCCAGAAAACCATCCTGCCAGGCCAGTGGGAACTGAGTATTTTATTCTGGGGCCTATGTGTCATGGTGCATCTGTGGAGGTCAGAGGAGAACTTGTAAGAATCAGTTCTTCCCTTCCACCATGTGAAATGCTGGCTTTAAACTGGAGTCATCAGGTTTGGTGACAAGCACCTTTCACTGGGACATCTTGCTGGTTTGGAAAAAGGAGTTTAAACTTGGGGTCTCTTAAGACTTGATGCTGCTTCTCAGGTTGTTATAGAAAGTGACTTAAATACAGAGCTACTCTGTGAGGCCTTCAGTTTGTCCTTGACAAACAGTTGTGTGTCCACAACTACATCCAGTTAGTTAATGCTGTTCAAGATGAGTGGTAGAAACATTCCAGAGTGTTCCTTTAACAAGCGTATGTTGGTAGTTGGCATTGAGCAGTGAGGAGGGAGTAACTCCCTGACCTGCCAGTGCTCCATAGTGGACATGATGGTGCACACCTGCAATCCCAGCACTCAGGCTGAAGCAGAGGGTTGCCATGAGTAGGGGGGGAAGCTTGGGTATCAAAACAGCAACAAATCACAACATTGTTTGAGAGATGTTTTGGTGATGAGGTTATTTTTCCTTTTTTCCTTTTTGAGATTGTAATATAATTACCCTTTTCTCCTTCCAGAACCCCTCCCATGTTACACCCCCACCCACCCAATTTCAGATGCGCAGCTTCTTTTTCTTTAATTGTTGTTACTGTGTATGTCCTGAATAAATAAATACAGCTCAGTCTGTGTAATAGTGCTTATATGTATATGATTTCAGGCATATGAAGTATTTGGGGTTAGATAACGAACTGGTGCTGCTCTTGAGGAGACCATTTCTCCTGTTCTGTGTATTCTGTAGTTGTCTTTGACCAAGGTTGAGGCAAACCAGTTCATTTTATACAGGATCCTTCTACAAAATCCCTTTTAGAAAACTGACCCTTAATTTGCTTTGCATACTGTATATCCACAGAATAAATTGATCAGTTGTTTTCTAGATATGACCAAAGGAATGAGCCTTACCTGTGCCTCATACCTTTTCCTTATCTTTAATTATTAGGCCATTAAACAGAAACTGCTTTTTTTATTTTTTCAAAGTAAAAGTATACAGATTTAGGGAACAATTTTAAAAATTAAGCTCGTTTACAGATATTTAAGTGAGTTATCTTAGAGGAAACTTTATTATTAATGTCTGTTGATTTTTATCTTAGATATTTTAAGTGACAATTTTATAATCTCTGTAATGGGGTACAGTGTAACACTGCCAAATTGGTGTAGAAAAGTGACCTCCCCTTGCTCACCAGCTGATCTGAGAGCTCAGCATTTAATACTTGAAACCCCATGTGGCCCTGCCAGTTTGGTAGAGTGATATGTGTGCACAGCTGCTTGCTTGTTTGTAAACACACTGCCCTTTTAAATTTCAGTTCCAAGAACCCAGAAGAGGCGGAGCTAGAAGACACCCTCAATCAAGTGGTAAGGTGCTTCATGGCCGCACCCACTGCTGTTTACATAGGGCCTAAAATATGCATATTAATGGGCAGTTGGTCTTTAATAAGTTTTACTCCTAAAATTTTATTTTTAATGTTGTTACTGTTTTGCTTCTCTTTTCTAATTTTTCGAAGATTGGTTTATTTTATTAATGTATATGAGTGTTTTTCGTGTATGTGTGTATGTGTATGTATGTATGCATCACTTGTGTACCTGTGCCTAAGGAGGTCAGAAGGGTGTTTATGGTCCCCAGAAATGGAGTTACAGATGGTTGTGAGCCACCATGTTCTAGGAATGGAACTAAGGTCCTCTGTAAGAACAAGTACTCTAACCCACTGAGCCATCTCTCTAGCCCAAGTACTTGCTTCTTGCTACTAAGTCTAGTCTAATCAACTGCAATTTAAGGAATAGGTGGCAGTGCTTACTGTAAACATTCCAAGGAGAGTTTATGTCATCAGTACAGGTTGCAACCCAAAACCCAGCGATCCTTGGATTCTGGTGTAGCTAGAGATAGTCAGCTTCTGAGTTTACTTCACTAATGTGTTCTTTCCCTGGCTTTGCCAGATGGTGGTCTTCAAATACATCGAGGACAAAGATGTGTTTCAAAAGTTCTATGCAAAGATGCTTGCCAAGAGACTGGTGCATCAGAACAGTGCGAGTGACGATGCTGAAGCAAGCATGATCTCCAAATTAAAGGTACTGCTCTGGAGAACTCCAACTTCTCATGCGTTATTGATGTGGTATTAGTCTCTCCACACTGGCAATGGGCAGAGGAGTTTATGCAGTGTGAGTCCTACTTCCCAGCTGGGCCGCCAATGCTTTCCTTCCTCTGCCACCCTATTTTGGGGACCTTCTGATCTGTGTAGCCCTTCTTTGGCTGGGTTCTGCTCACCAATTCCACATCCTCACCTGCCTTCCATACACTCAACCCTGTTGGTTTTGAGTGAATGCTTAGTGGTTTTCTTAGCTTAAACTACCAAAACAAAATACCATGGACCAGGTGACTTAGTCTTAGAAATTAAGTCTGAGGGCTAAGAAGTCTTAAGATCAAGGTCTAAGAAGTATTAGATCTCATTCCTAAAGCAGATTCTCCTGGCTTGAAACCAACCACTTTGTTTGGCAGAGTACTCTCAGAGAACATCTTAAAGATGTAGCAAACCCATGATAAGAACCCTACATTCATGGACTCGCAAGGGCCTATCTCCAAACACCTCCACACCAGAGGTTTAAGCTTCAGCAGGCACATGGTAGAAGAGATAGTTCAGTAGTTAAATAAGGGACAAGCAAATTAATTGGGACATGGAAAGGCATGATTTGAGGGTCATTTGATGCAGCCTAGACTATCCTCAAAACTGTGATCCTTTTGGCTCCACCTCCTGAGTACAGGACTTTCAAATATGTACCACTCTACCTGTTTCTAAATCCTTTCCTAGTTGTAATTTACTGCAGCGGTAGAGTACCTTGCTTTAAATGCTGCAGTATGCTATGGCATATTGAAGACTCAGTTGTTCAACTCTTTTTATAACACACTAATTTTAATCAGTATATATGTATTCCACAAGAGATGACTAAATTTTGGTTGTAGTAGCTTCATAGAACTAAAGATAAAGATATATCGTGTACATTCATGTTTCTGTGCAAATTAATGAAACAATTGCTTGGGTTTATTTCAGCAAGCTTGTGGTTTTGAGTACACTTCCAAACTTCAGCGAATGTTTCAAGACATTGGTGTAAGCAAAGATCTGAATGAACAGTTCAAAAAGCACCTAACGAATTCAGAACCACTGGACTGTGAGTACTGAGTGCTCATATAAGGACTGTTTCCCAGCTCTTTGTAGCAGATGAGAGAAATGAGGGTGGTAGATGTTGTCAGAATTTCAAAGACCAAAAAGCCTCTCCTCCTAAGAGGCCTCTCCTAACTCCCAGGATAGTATGATGGTGGCCTTTGCCCAGGACCAGTCATATGCTTCCAACTTCAGTCTTAGGCTGATATATGGGCTTGTTTTGTCTTTTGAACTTTAGTTTGATACATTTCTGAATATTCTCTCTCTCTCTTTTCTCTCTCTGATGAAAGTTGGGAGAATTTTATTCTTCTCAGATTAGAACTGCTGTCATTATTAAACTTTTTAAAACAGTTTTGCTAGTGGACATCTCTAAATTATCTGTGAAGATGAAATTGTCCTAATTCATAGGTTATACCTGTCTCTACTGTCTTCACAGTATAAGTGGTAAGCAAGCCAAAATAGAGGTAGTGGGTTGCTTGTTGAGCTTTCCATTTTCTTGTGTTTGGGGCTATTAAACCATTCCTAGTCACCACACACTGTGTGAGCGGGCTGAACTTCATATCCAGGGGGGAAATGAAATTGAACAAGGCAGACTGTCTTTTAGGAATTTGTATTGACAGTAAACTGGAATAACATTGCCTTGGAGGCAAACAGTTTCTGGTTCTTCAACCTTTAGTTTGAGTGTTTGATAGAGGGCATCTGGCTGTGTAACTTCGTAAGCCTGGAACTTGTGCTCTTCCTGCCTCCGTGTCTGGTGCTGGGATCACAAGTGTGCACCACTGTTAGGCTTCCAATTTTATTAATTTTAATTGGATACGTTGAAACTCTTTATGTTTAATTCTTAATTTTATATTTAAGGAAGACTTTTAATGTATTTTCTTTAATTTTGACCATTTCTTGTTTGTATGAAATAATAAAATTTTTAAATTTGTAGAGTAATTAAATGTGTTTTCCACCTCCAGTGGACTTCAGTATTCAGGTCCTGAGTTCCGGATCGTGGCCCTTTCAGCAGTCTTGCACATTTGCCTTGCCATCAGAGGTAAGGGTGGCTCTGTTATCTGGTCCCTTCAGCTGTGGAGAATGAAAAGGGCAGCCTGGCCATTAGTATGCTGACTGCAGTGCTGTGTCAAGCAGTCAGAGCAGTGTTGGTGCTGATTATGAAACTGGCCTGGGTTGGCTAATGGAAGGGTGCTCATCTCTTTTGCAGCAGCAAACAGTGTTGATTTACTTCTCAACTAGAGAATCTCACTGGTTGCCTGGTGAACTATTGATGTACCTAGTGGGCCTGAAGTAGAAACCTGCTTGGGTTCTACTCTCGGGTGTCTTAGAGTGCCCGCAAGACAGTCGCCTGACATCTGTAGTGCACTTCTCTGGAAGCACTGATTGTGTTCTCAGAACATGGGGTCAGGGAGCTTTATTTAGAAATGCTGACTGTAGAATGGAGAGCCATAGATGCCACATAGTGCTGTTCTTTCGTCCAGTTGGAGCGCAGTTACCAGCGATTTACAGCTTTCTACGCCAGCCGTCACAGTGGCAGAAAATTGACGTGGTTGTATCAGCTGTCCAAAGGGGAGCTAGTCACCAACTGCTTCAAAAACAGATACACTTTGCAGGTAATGCCTTTTTATTTGGGGGAAGCAGTTAGCACTAGATGATAAGACAAATCACAGAAACTCATCCTCTGATAAAGGAGTGTAGGGAGCATAGTGTGCTTGTCATGGGCAGGGGAGCTGAACCCAGTTCAGCTGAACTCTGGCTGGAGGCGCAAGTTATCTTCTTACTCTGAGCCTCAGTTTTCTCCTCAGTTGAGTTAGGAGTGTGTGTGTGCTTACGTCATAGAAGGGGTCTTTGATAGGTGTTGCCATGGCCCTTGCGTGACACGCTTGGGTAACAGATTTAAAAGCTGACATTTCACTGTCTACGCCCAGTCACGCATTGGTAAGACTCCCTAGTGCTTCCAGCTGTGTGGAGTGCTTACTGATGATAGCTGGGGACTAATGGCATCTGCAGATAAGAAGCTGAGGCCCAGTTCACTGACAGTGCACTATAGCTTGGGTGTTGCAAGGTTAAATTTTCTGTTAAGGCATTTTCTTTCAGAGTCTAGGTTCTTTCTACTCTTCTGTACTCAGTGTTTCACAACTAATACTTATTTCATATCTTGAGAAGGGTAATGATAATTACAAATTTCTTTTAGCATTAAACTTTAGAGTGGGTAACCCAAACTACTTACTAGTCTAACCTTTGAACCCCTACCTGATAAGGTACTTAAGTAACCTCATCCCTGGTCTGGACTTCTCTATCAGCTTGAACACATACACATTATGTGTACCAAAAAAATAATTTTTTTGTTCTACTGTGTATGAAAATACAACTGATGATTAATGTCCCTGTACCTGGTCTGTATTTACACAAGAGTGGAGATGCTTATCTAGTTACGTTTACATAGAGGACACATTTCATGGGAAAACTGAAAGTCCTTTCAGTGTTTGAGTGGTGTCTTTAAGGCAGATATGTACCTTACCCTGGCCTTGTGCCATTTTGTATTCTCTTTCCTTTTTTGCACTTGTTTAAAGAATGCATTTTGTGAAAGTAGGTTGTGCCTGTGAAGACCTTCGTCCATATTTTCACATTTCCTCCTTTCTTTTCTCTGGGCTGTGAAGGCGTCCACGTTCCAGATGGCAATCCTGCTTCAGTACAACACAGAAGATGCCTATACTGTGCAGCAGTTGACTGACAGCACGCAGATTAAGATGGTATTCCTGTCGTTTCACCTCCCTCTGTACTTTGAAGCTACCTTTTCTTTGCTCGTCAGGATGCTGACTTTGACTTCATAGATACTTGCAGCATGGAAAAAACAAAGACAAACCCCACAAGGTTCATTTGAGCCGAAAGTTAACCTGAGTTAACTAGTTGTTAAGCTAGCGTGAGGGACATCCAGCACATTCCAGATGCTAGTGGCGTTAAGATCTGGGTTATAAAGCTCCATGTGCCACTCTAGTGATTTTATGACTGTTGTTTTGGAGAAAACAGATGTTTACTCAGGCAGACGTGGTAACAAGCATTTGTGATGGTGGTGGCCAATTTTAGCTAAACTCTTATAAACTTTTATGCTAGCATTATAAGGGTGTTACAAACGCTCTGTTTTGCCAGCGTTGTAAGGACATTACAGAAGGCTCTTTTTTTTTTTGTTTTGTTTTGTTTTAATGGTTTTTCTGTGGAGCCCTGGCTGTCCTGGAACTCAGGATCAGGCTGGCCTTGAAATCACAGAGATTCACCTGGCTGTCTCCCATTTGCTGGAATTAAAGGCGTGTACTACCACCATCAGCTGGCAAAATGCTCTGTTTCTAAACCCATTCTGTCACCCACGCACTCACTTACTTAGTCTCTCTCTCTCTCTCTCTCTCTCTCTCTCTGCATGTATGTGAGTGTGAGTGAATTCCTTTCATTCATTTAACCAATTCTTTAAGACAGGGTCTTATTGGGCAGCCCTGGTTGGCCTGAAACTATTCTGCTCCCCGTTATCCCAGTTGTTAAGAATACAGGTGTATACCACACCTGGCTCTCTCATTTAACTGATTCTTTTCCAGCTAGATTTTTCTGAGGTTGAATTTTGACTTATTTTTCCTACTGTTCTTCCCATTACTCACATTCTCCTGCAGTATCTTCAAATAGTATAAAATTTCACATAACATAAAGCTGTTAATAGTCAATAAACAGTTGTTATAGCCCCCGCTACTATCCAGTTCCAGAGCATTTTCGTCCCTTGAGAGTAGACCCATGGCAAGTCTGCCTTCTCTCTTTGCCCCATGTCCCTGACACCGATTAGCCATTATGGACTCTCCTACTCTGGGCATGGCATAAAAGTGGAGTCAAGCTGTATGTCTCTTTCTGTATTTGTCTAACTTCACTTAGTATTTTTGTCTACAGGGTTTATTAGGTGTCAGACTTTATTCACGTGTGTGTGTGTGTGTGTGTGTGTGTGTGTGTGTGTGTGTGTGTGTGTGTATGCATGTTGGAGACTGGAAGTGTCGCTGCTGAGCACTTTCCATCCCTCCTTTGCGGCAGCATCTCACTGAATCTGGAGCTTATTCAAATATTTTCTCCCATTCACGTTGTTTCTTTGAGGGTTTTTTTGTTTGTTTTGTTTGGATTTTGTTATTTTTGAAACAGGGTCTCCTATAGTCCAAGATGACCTCAAACTCACTACATAGGTAGAGAATGGCCTTGAACTTACTGTCCTTCTGCCTCTCTACATGCATCCTTGAGTACTAGATGACTGGTATGCTCCACCACACCTGTTGGTATGCAGCATAGGAGATTGAACCCAGGGCCCATGCTAGGCAAGTATTCTACCAACTAAGCTGTAGTCCCAGCCCCCATTTTGCTTCTTACTTGACATGCATTTACTGATAGCTATAATAATATCGACATTACTGTACACACATTTTTTTTTTAATTTTATTTTTCTTATTAGTTACATTTTGTGGGGTTGGGGAGGGAATGAGGGAGCGGGATACAGCTGGGACACACATTTTATTATTTTGATGAAACCTACTTTTATTTTTTGTTGGCTGGTTGGAAGGACTGACAGGTCTGGCTGGCTCTCTGCTTGGCTTCTCCTCAAGGCCATACCAGTTTTTCTACTGTTAGTAGAATTCCCTTACAGGACTTCAGCTGCCCTCCTTCAGTCCTCATGGTTGCCGCTTCTGACAGATCTACCTTCATAGCGTCAGACCAGCATGGGTGCAGTTATGAAGAGGGCTAGCCTTCTGTCTAGCCTTAATCACCAGACCAGTTACTACCTACAGATAAGAGGTCACATGGTGCACTGAGTTCACTAAAGCCAAGTTAGCAGCCAGTTAGCATGGTCATGAAACTTGGGCTCTGCTGAAGCTACTTAGTGCTTCGTTTGATGTTCAGGGGTGTAGTTCAGTGGTAGAGCACTTGCCTGGCATATGTAAAGCCTGAGGCTTGGGCCCCCGAACCACAAAACTTTCTTGTGAACCTTCAGACTCTGGAGAAGTTCATTTCCTGTAGGTTTAATTGAAGTAGGGGAGGCCACATATTGTATCCAGTGTTAGTGGAGAACTGCTTTATTGCCTTTGATTTTGGGGCGCTTCAGGCCATAAAGAACAAGCCATGTCACTTTCTCTGGGGTTCTGCTTGAAGTGATGACCATTTTTGTGGACAATGAGCTGAATCTCTGGGACAGCCATTGAGAAGAAGTGTTGTTCCTTCTTGCTCACCATCTTTCTCTCTAATTGCAGGACATTTTGGCACAAGTCCTACAGATTTTACTCAAGTCCAAGTTGCTGGTAAGTTTTTGTAGCTTCTGTTGAACTAGAAGAAAACCTTTCCCTGGGATGTGCCTAGTAATAGTTATTTTCTTCTAGGTCTTGGAAGATGAAAATGCAAATGTTGATGAGGTGGAATTGAAGCCAGACACCTTAATAAAGTTATATCTTGGTTATAAAAAGTAAGAAAAATCTAATACACAGCTGCTGGTCTTATCCTCTGGCACCTGGCATACTTCAGCATCGGCATGGGCCAGGGGAAACAACTGTACAATCTTGACTGCCTGGCAGTCCTCAATGCTGCTTTGTTTGATGCTGAGTGCTGAGTTTGATTTTCTCTTTATTTCGAAACTAAGTCTTCTTGAGAGGCTCGTATGAAATATTTATACCTTAATGTCAAATTATTTTGATGTTACCACACTTCACAAAATTGAAGGATCAAATGTCACATCATAGCTCTGTGGTAAAATTACATGGAATTGGTGGAGGGACAGTTCCCAGGTGGGTGGTAGAAATGATACAGAAGAGATGGGTATGAACCACCTTCTGCCCCAGTCCAGGGAGGCAAAACCTGCAGCGTTGAAAGACAGGAAGCAGACTTTTCAATGACCTATTTTCTCTCTTGTCTTTGACAGTAAGAAATTAAGAGTTAATATCAATGTACCAATGAAAACAGAACAGAAGCAGGAACAAGAAACTACACACAAAAATATAGAGGAAGACCGCAAACTACTGATTCAGGTGACTGCCATGTCTGCTGAATCTCTGGGACAGCCACTGTATACTTAGGCAAATGTGTTGGCCTTGTATGTGCTGTAATTGGCAAGTGCTGCCAGAACAATACAGGGCTCAGGAGTGGCCAATGGTGACAGTGCCCAAAGCCCAGGACATTGGTGTCAGGGATGAAGTGTTCTATGTACCAAAAAGAAATAATCTAATCGACTTGCCTAAGTATTGGGAAACAGATAAATATGGCAGATTGAAAGAAACAAGAGAATAAGTAGAGTTGAGTACAAGACTGGGTAGCTTCTATGGCCTTACAGACACAATTTTTCTTTATTCTTTAGTGCTTTGTAGTTGGCCAAAACATTTTAAGATTTACGTTTATGTTATATGCATGTTTTGTCTATATAGAAGGGCACATGTACATGACTGGTGCCCCCAGAGGTCAGAAAAGGGTGCTGCAGATCCTGGAACTAGAGTTAGAGTGTTGTGAGCTACTCGTGTAGTTGCTAGGAACTAAAACCAAGTCCCCTGGAAGAGCAGCCAGTGCCCTTAATAGCTGAGCCATAGGTTTAGCCCCTTGGCTAAAACATCATAGAGCTAACTTTGGACACTTGTTACCCTATGCATGGAAATAGAGCTGAGGTAGGCCTATGTACAGGCTGCCTTTAACTTTCATGCTTAGCTCTAAGCGGGTTTTTCCTTGTTGATTTTATTAGGCGGCTATCGTAAGAATCATGAAAATGAGGAAAGTCCTGAAACACCAGCAGTTACTTGGTGAAGTCCTCACTCAGCTGTCCTCTAGGTTCAAACCTCGGGTCCCAGTGATCAAGGTATGTGAATTACAGAGCAGCAGCTATCCCTTCTCTTGTTAGGATACATGTAGCAAAAGGATTAGTGACTGTTTTATAAAAATGGGAACTGGCTTACTCATACAATGAAATCAGCTAACTTCATTCTTGAAGTAAATACATAGAGGTATACAGGTCATAAACACACTTCTATAATAGATACTCTGATAAAGAATAAGAAGTCACAGTTATCCAAGACTTCCCATGTTTTCCCCTATCTCTACATTTCTGTGGTAGTTAGGGGTTCTGGCTTCTGAGCCATAATGCAGCGTTGGCTGGTTTTGCCTAGGAGGAAGGAGTGTACAGAGTGCTGTCTGCTGTACGGGTGAGAACTTGCCTGGCAGTGTGAGGGGGCCCATCTGGGACTGCATTGTTAGGAAACATGTCTCTCTGCTGCCATGCAGGGTTTGTGTTAAATGCACATACTGTCTAGGGCACTGGTGATCTCATTTGCCTAGTTTGTGCTGTCAGTAACTCAGCAGGCCTTTCCTTTTCTGAAACTACCTGGGTGAGCCTCAGCTATTGGCGCGCCTCCAAGGGTGGCAGTGAGTGGTTAGCCCTCAGTGGTACGGAGCCCAGAATATCGTAGGGAACTATTGGCAAGGTGCTTCAGGTCGTTCACGCCCTGCTTCACACCCATCCTGCGCTGCTGATGGCGCAGGCCTGCCCAGGGGTAGCTGGGCCTGCTTAGAAAGGGAGAGTGTGGCCTAGATGTGGCACAGCACTTGCCCCCTTAATGCCTCAAACAGATTGAGGGGTGCGTGGTCACTCTTAGCAACTCTTCCCAAAGGACTTCATTCAGGAAAGCAGTATCTCCTCAGTTCCAGGCTAAGTAGACAGGTGAATTTGCTCCCTGCTGAGCTCAGTGGTGGGTAGCCGTGGTGAAGGTGGTAGGCCTGTCCTGATGGTTATTTGTATTTGTTTTCCCTCTTCCTCCTCAAATAATGCCCAGAAATGCATTGATATTCTCATCGAAAAAGAGTATTTGGAGCGAGTTGATGGTGAAAAGGACACCTACAGTTACTTGGCTTAACCCATCTCAAAGGGTCTATGCGACCCCAAGCAAATAGTTTCAGTGAATAGAACGGAAACAACTCAAGTTCATAGCAGCCAGCCTGCCGCCATTTGGACCTCCCTTTTTAAAGCTGAGACCACAGTTCCTACCAGCTGGTCTCAAGCTACAGCAGGACTGCTCAGGACTGACACATTTCAGTCTGTAAACAGACGCCAACGCCATTTACCCTACCTTATGGACAGAGGGGAACCGAACCTTCCATGCTGAGGCTGCATGCTACTGCACTTAAATCAATACATTGGCTCCCTGGTTAACAGCTGTCGCCTAAGGCAGCGCACGAGAGCGAGTCTGAATGGACCCACGTGTAATCTGCTATGAAAACCATTTGTATAGTGTGTTTCATTTTTTTAATGTGTGAAAATAAAGAAAATTAAAGGATTTCTGTACAAGTTGCATTTGGTTTTGTTTTAAGTTTTACTAATTTCTATATGTAAATAAAAGATTTAATGATTGTGCAAGTGTATATTCCCAGTGTCTTCCTGGAATTCAAAAGGGCTGCATTCTCTGGATTGAAAATTAGTCCTTAATTTTTAAGGCCCCCTAATCCTTTTGATCTTGTTCCTGAGTCATCCTCAGTGCTGTGAGTATAGCATGAGAGGCAGTGACTCCAAATTGCCGCTGTTGACCCTGCAGGGACTAGATGATGCTGGTCCTTGTTGCCCTATTAAGTAGAACTAGACAATGGAAGTAGAACCAACACGAGCTCATGACCGCCTGGTCTCCTACCTCCATAGTCCTGAGGTCGGTCAGTGACAGGAGGTGGCAGCTACTTACTGTTTACAGTTCTGACTATAAAGAGGCTGCCAGTTGAGGTTAAAGACCTGAATTACTGCTCTCTCCTGGTCGGCAGGGAGGATGCTCAGCCCTCTCCACTTTGGCGCATTATGCAGGAGAACTGAGAATCTCACCTCATGGCTCTCCCAGTGAAGCTTTTCCAAGGAGGCTGCCATTGTCACCCCAGGATGTCCCTGGAAGGAGGGCCCAGGTCAGGGGTTCAAGGCTCTGATCCTCCTCGGATTGGTCCAGCCCAGGGCTCAGACCTCCAGGAACTCTGCCACAAGGCAGTGCATCGACCTTTGTTCTCAATCTCCATTTCTTGGCCGAAGGGCAAGAGAAATGCAGAGACAGCGCACATCTCAGTGGTCCCAGTGGTCCCGGCACTGCCACTCCACGCTAAAGCCTAAGCAAGGAACCACTCAGAATAGCCTGGCTGGCTCTGAATGCACTTAAGTTTCTACACTGCATTTTGGAGGGAGAGGTCACAGCTGTAATTCTCAATCTGTCTTGCATGTGTTAGGCAAGTTCTGAACCCCTGAGCCACATCGTTCGTTAGCCCCTTGCTTTGAAAGAACGTTGGGCAGGCTGGCCTCAAACTCATGATCCTGCTTCTGCCTCCCTAGCACTAGGATTCCAGGCCTGCTTTTTCACACTCCATCCCTCCATGCCTCTTAGTGTATCTACTTTTCAGTCTCACTCAGTCTATAAACCAGGTAAAAACAGGTGACCCAGCCATTCCACTCTGCTCTCCCTCCACCCTAATGGGCCCCAGAGAACCACAGACATGATTTGAAAACTCTATTAATTTGTAAGCTGAATGATGCTCACAGCTTGCTTGTCCTTCTAACAGTTCATTTTTATATCTGAGACAAACATGCTGTAAAAAAACACCATGGACCTACTTTTAAGAATCTGGCTGGAGTCCATGAAGAGGACAAGGAACTTTGGGATCTCTTCAATTACTCCAGGATCAAATGTGCCTTTAGGTAAGTATACAGGAACTGGCCTGCAGGCTGGGTGAGGGCAGGTCTAACCTCACGTCTTAGATTGCTGGTAAGTGAACAGTATTGGTGGTAAGTGTCATGTGTTCACTCAGCTTTATGCTCTTCTGCCATAGTGGACTCTCACCCTCCTAGAACCCAAATAAGCTCGGTATTCTCTAAGTCAACATTTGGTTATGTTTTATCACTGCAAGAGAAGAAACCGACATTTACTTTTTGATCATGTAGGGGGCTAGACAGGCAGATGTCTGAATTCAAGGACAGCCTGGCCTGCCAGGGCTTCATATGAGACGCTGTCAAAAAAGTGGGGGGAGGGGGACACTAAAAGAAAAAAACCTGCTGTTAGGTCCAAAGGAAATTTCAATTTCCCAAACTCTAAAAGGCAGTCCAAATCTTTAGAAATGAGCTCAACCTGGACTATAGGAGGATTTCTGGCATTTAGGTAAAAGCCAGCATTCCTTAGAAACTTAGCCAGTTTCCCTCCACCAAAATGTCACAGCGGCCATGAGCTCATGCAGGCCTCAAGGCTTCCTCAGCACCTGCCAGACATTGAAAATCCATGCTGGCCTTCTGGCCCTTCTCACCTCCCCTTCCTTAAGACTCCGTCCAGCTCACAAGCTGTCGTGCCCACAGCTATTCATTCTCCTTATAACCATGATTGCAGCGTGCCCCCTTCTACTCACTCTCCCTTTTCCTTGCTCTGTTCCTGCCTCCTACGTTTTCTCTATTCTGTATCCCGTTCTTCTCCCTTCTTAAAGCTATCCCTGCCATGTCCAGTCTTTCTGCTTCCTCTCTGCCCTGGGTTCCTCCAGTTGCTTTTGGCTGTGCCCTCTCATATCTATAAAATCCTTCCTTTCAGACCAGGGGGTGGTCGGTTTATACACCTACCAACCTGAATTTCTACCCCATCCTAATTTTGTTATCCCACGGTGACAAGATAACTGTAAAACTATTTTTGAGATAAGATATAGGTTATACTAAAGTATGCCAAAGCACACACCTTCCTGGGCCATGAGTTGACAACTCATGACAACTAGAAAGGACTTAAAAAAAAAAAAAAAACATTAAAAAGCAGAACCTAGATTCGTAGATTCAGGGAAAGTCTACTCATTTCCTAGAGATGATTGCCCACCCCTCACCGCCCTTGTTACTGCTTCCCTAAGTCCTGGAGTGAAAAAGGACCAAATATGGGGCAGAACTGGCAACTAATCGAGCACAAAAGTTGACCTTTTAAGATTAACAGTTTTGACTTGTCTCCTTTAAAACAATGTTCTAGTCTGAAGACATGACTGGTTAGGAGCACTTGCTGTGCAGCCATAAGACAAGTTAGGATCCCAGCACTTGTGCACACAAGGCAAATATGGTCTCACACCTGTAATCACAGTGCAACAGGAGACAGGAGAGGTGAGTCAATAGGGCTACCCTTTACACCCCAACTGTTGGCTGTGTAGATTCTTAGTGCGTAGTTGTGTAACCTACTGCTGAGCCCAGACGGATAGCGCCAAACCCTGGTCAACCGGGCTGGTTGAAAGCTAAAGGGACAGACATGAGCGTATAAGTGTATGGGCCTGGGAGGGTGAGGGTGATTAGTATGCAGAGACTGTGTATGTGAAAACAAACACAGCTGTTTCCTCCACACCACTCTCCTCTACTACACATAAACCCAGTGGTCTACAGAGCTGGCCTTTTAACTAAGAACAGCTGACAGGGCCGAGGGAGATGGCTGTTAGCCAAAGGGGTCATCAACATAGCAGCTCACTGCTTTTGTGGGAACTTGAAGTCCTGCTCCAAGGGATAAAATAAGAACAGAACCAGTCCTGCTGAACTGGAAGGCTCCTGAAATTTAAAATATTAGGCTTTTTACAGTGTTTATTCTTTACCAAACATCACTGCCTAATTTTCTTCTTTAAATTGGGGGTGAAAAAAAAAAAAAACAAAACACTAAGGTCGCAGCTACCCGACAGCTACATCAGTCTTTTCAGTTCATGCAGCAGCTAACCGGTGGCAGCCCAAACAATGCCTTTGTCTAACCAGGTGAGGATGGAATTATTTCTAACAATGCCTACGTAGATCTCCTTCACTGGGAATCATTTATAAGGATGAAGTGTAAAAACAAGCTTTTTTTTTTTTTCAACTAATGCCAGTCAGAATTAAGTAACAAAACAATTCTAACAAAATGGTCACTTCCAGACTATACTGATGACCTTCAACAAACTTTAATCAAATAATGTTAGTCTTCATAGCAGTAGCCAAACACTTGGGCAGAAATGAAAGTCAGAACTTCTAGTGGATATGTTAGGGGTAAGATGATTCTCAATACTGAAAAACAAGGAGTGTTTCTAGGTAAGACTTTTTAATACAAACTATGAAATACCTTGAATTTGGCATGTAATGACATGTTTTCCCAGGCATCAATCTGGATGAGGTAGTATGAGCTGTTCACCCATGCATCAGGCTTTGTGCCATGAGATTCAAGCTGACTGGATCTAACTAGAATTGAAGTTTACAAAATGGATTCAGTGGGTGAAGACACTTGCTGGCAGGTCAGGTGACCTGATTGAGCCCAGAGACACATAAAAGAAAAGACTCCTGTAAATTGCCAGCTTGTTCATCTGTGTGTTGTTTTTCTGAAAGGTCTCACTAGATAGCCCAGGCTTGGTTTGGTCTCTCCAACAACTCACAACCTTCCGGCCTTGGCTCTCCAAGTACTGGCATAAATTATCACACTTCTCTACACACGAGCATCTGTAAGCCGTGTCTAAACTGGAATTTAAGCTATGTAGGTTCTTAAAAATAACCTAATCAAACCTGCAGTCATTTTACATATGGACAGCAGACTTGGAGGTTCAACAGCTTTCCCCAGGGTACAAGCTGGCTGGAATGTGCCTCACCCGTGTCCTGTTGACTCACTTTCCTTGCCGAGTGCCCAGAACCCGTGCCAGTGTTGTTCACTCATGTCTTCTGAAGACTAACAGGCAATACTAACACTGTGTCCAGGCAAACACTGTGCCAGTAAATTCATTAGTTAACATTAGTTAAAGATTCATAGAGCTGGAAAAGCAAAGCTAACCTGTGTTTTCCCAGTGGATATAGTCTTTCTAGAATCAGTTGATGATGCTCTATGACAAATGACTCAACAAGTTCAAGTATTCTTTATTTAAAGTTGAAAAATGTACCATACTGCATTATTGCAAAAATTCACTGGTACAAAACACTTTGCAGCTGGTGAGAAGGCAATAAAAAGTTGATTTTAAAACTCATTACTATAAATTACTGTCACAGTACTTTGTAAATTCAGAATTTCAAACTGCATTTTCTTGTCCTAAATTGCCCACAGTACTCAAGGTTCCTGAAGCTAAGGCAGCTGTTTCAGAGAGGAGGGGAAGAGGTAGCAGATGTCAAGGGATTTCCATTTCTCTTTCAATGCCCACATACTTCAGAGCATCAGCCTGGCTGTATCTGCAACAACATGAACAAAAAAAAAAAATGACTACCTGTCCAACATCAGGAAAACCAAGCCTGCTGATGTAGAGAATTATGTCATTAAAACACAGACAATCCCACCCCCATTACACAGCCACATGCATGAAGGGGAGGCACGTATCTGTCACTGGTCACCTATTTGGAGCTGTGTGTTCCCACAGCTCTACCCAGCCCTCCCTGCGCCTCTGGAGCGGTCTGCTCT